AGCAATACCTACTTGGAAAGCACTACGCCGAACTTCGGCAGTTCCAATGCTTTTTCCACCTGATGATGTTTACATCGATGGAGGCATAACCGCTAACAATCCTCTACTGGACCTGCTTTCAGAGGTGGAATTGTACAATGGGGCACATACTTATTTGGTAAAAACCGGTTACATTTCAAGGTGATTTTGAAAAGTACTGGACTATAAACTGCTAACTTGCAGCAACGTCCTGAAGGCAAAGTTGAGATCGGTTGTGTGTTATCGCTTGGAACTGGTCAAATACCTTCATCACCTCTCAATCCCTTGAACATCGGAATATCTAATCCTATTGGCAGCGCCCTCAATTTCAAAAACCTCAGCCTTATAATCATCGATCAGGTATAACTATTGTAGTCAACATTCATCTCATGCTAGCTCGCCTTCATATTTTAGTACAATTAATGTTATTATCTACAGGTATCAGCGTCTGAAGGTGCTCCTGTTGACCGTTCATTCTCTTGGTGTAATGCATTGCAAATCCCCTTTTTCCGCTTCAGTGCTCCCCTGCGGAAAGTATGTTTTTTTGAAAATTCAGAGAAAAATCTTTCCAAGGAGTTTTATAGAAGCTTCTCTTTAAACATCCATAACATCAATGAGCATCTGTCTCTCTTCATATGTGACCACAGTGAGAGCAAAAAACGGCTTGCATAGTTCTATTAGCTTCTGGTGTTTAATAAGTAGAAGAATGCCCTTCAATTCTGAGACTCTACCTTTATCTCATCGTCAATGGCTAAAGCCAATCACTATGGGCTCCCTGAAGTACAAACTTTCTACTAGGAAAAAAAGACTAGCTGGTGGAGCTCCGCGTCAGATTGTCAGAAAAGCGTTGGAAAACGTGGATCAGCTGATATGCTGTTTTAGGCTATTGGCGCAACAACGAAGAATGATCATGACATTGCTGGCATGATGTGGGATTGTGTCGAATATGCTTACAAGAATCATTCCAAGATTGTGAGGTTGTGCCAACTTCTCAAAAAAATTGGGAGAACTCCCGATCGTGCAAGGATTTTAACAGATTCATCTTAGCTTTTGAATTTTCTCAAATGCTCTTTCTTACTGGAATGCTGCTTTAATTTGTTACTCTGTAATTTCACAGATTATTAAATTGTATGAAAAGGGTTCTGTAAAAGCTATCATAGCTATTAGAGATTTTCTTCACCACTAATTGTTAAGTAGAAAAGATGACAAACATTGCATTGGTATCTCTGGTCCCAAAGGATATTATCCCATATTGTTGAACTTGAATCGGGTTTTTGTTAGTTGCGGTAAAGAATTGTGGGCCGAATATCAAAAAGGTTTTCTCTATAAAATGCTACACTTATTCAAGCTTTTGAATCCTGCATGATTGAAATGCTATGAGTTTGAGAATATAGTCATACTGAAACAGCTTTTGGTATACTGTTAGCTTGGCTGCTAACAACCTTCCATTCATACATGATAAGCCAACTTAACTTCGACTTCGGCAATATTAATTCAACATAGAATAACAATTTGGCGAAGATTAGAAAAATGTAGAATGTTGAGGTGCGACTTTAGGGAATCTCTTCAAAGAAACCTACGGTAACAGCGCGAAAGGTCCCAAAACGCACAGTTTTACAGCGTCAGCCATGCCGAAAGTTGCAGAAGAACGGTGTGGTCATGATTCTCAACTGGAGAAGATCCTGACTGTGTTTATTACCCATGGATATTGCGCTCTCCGATTAGAACAGCCGTCATCGTTATAGCGGAGAGCAATTTAAGGAAAGATTTAAGCCACATATAGCAGTGACATTTTGCATAAAGTAAGGAGTCTCGGAGAAAGGATCTGCATATCAGCTAAATTAATCTGCTTCCTATAAACCTGTAAGAAATACGAGTACACGGCTAGGCTAAATCTACGCGGTTGGAGGTCTTTATCTGTTTGACCCGTACGGGAGCTTGCCAAGCCCCAACACTTTTGTGTTCGATACATGAAATATGAGCATGTCTACTGTGCCAAGTGGCCAAACACAGTAATATGCATGAGGGTGTTGCAAAAGAGTACCACCAAAAGTATGAAGCACCCCAGAATTAAAGACATCCAATTTCTATTAGTTATTAGTATTAAAAAAACACGGCCAAAGGTAGCACAAATATGGCTTTATAAAGTAGGTGAGTCTTATGGAGAGCGTCTCAAGTACACGTGAGCCATCCTTAGGTTCAGCACGCATGAGCAGGAAGCACTAAAAGAAGGCTATAGCACAGGAGGGTGAAATCAACGCAAGCTCAGGAATATCAAGACTAGCTTGAGAGCTTGTAACCTTTATGAGTTTGCTTTTTTTGTGCTTATTCAAATTAGGAGGCAAAAGCATTCACGCAACGTATCGTATCATCTGTACGAGGTGGTCACCATTCCCGCGCCCGCATCCGTGTAAAGGTACACTCTTGATGTGTACCCCTCCGTGGATCCGGACACTACAGCAATTATTGCTATTCATTTTTTAACCACTCAAATTCCATTCTCTGATAAAATTACTCCGGGGCGGTAGTGATCTAGCCGAAACGGGGACGCTTGAATTAGAGTTGGCTGAATGTGTACGCTGTTATTGCCCACCTAACTCGGAGCTTAGAATGGACGAGCACGCTTGAAATAGCTTTAGAGGGGAGAACTTGGTGGGATATGATGGAGAATATATAGTTGACAGAGGTACGGTGTAAAAAAGCACTTACAAAAGAAGTTACCCCTATTACCAGCAACCTCCTACTCGTATCGCACCAATCTGCTAGTTTCATTGGCCATTGAAAAGGGAGTTGAAGGTGCAGTTAACCGCAAGGTAGGCGGATGCGATGAGATAGTGTGGGAGTGGAGATACGCAGTTGTAGCAGTGCTCGTTTCGTTCAAAAA